CGGAGAGGAGCAGCGGGACTGAAAGTTGCTCCACACCCTGGGCCTGGTACGGTTGGCCACCCAACAGTGACCAGGGCTATTGTTCCCCTCGGGACAGAGGGCCAGCAGCAGCTCAGGGCCAAAGAAGACAGACAGGCAGTCACAACAAGACCAAAACACCGCCAGGGAGACCAAGATGAAAGGAAGGAACAAAAAAAGTTCTAGCCTTTGGACGAGCTATGCAAATTAACACAAATCAATGTCCCATTAATTGCTCCATGGAAAACATGAGCTGCCCACCTGGGCCAGCATGAACCTTTGGAGGTGGAGAGTCCCACATTTCTAGCAGAATGGAGCAGAAACCCATTACCCCACACACACACACCAGAAGTGCCATCAAGAGACCTGGCTGGCTGCCTTCTGGTTCCTAAGGCCATCATATTTTAGAACTGGACAGTCCCTGGCAAATCCTGCCCTTCCGAGGACATAGGTCATGGAGACACTGGGACAAACCAGACTGCTTACATGCACATTACGGGCAGATTAGCCAACTGAAGGCTTCCGGGTACAAAGCAGGGTTTATTTTAAGAAATTAATTTAGATAGCAGTTGTATTGAAAAGCAACAAGTTTCTCAAATGGTTAGAAATAAGACAGCTTCCCATTTTTCCTAATGCCATACATTTTTTTCACGTTGTTCCTAACAGACCATCTGTTAAGATTCTTCTGTAAACTACCTAAATATCCTTGGAAGTCATTATTACTTTTAACTCAATAGACGTTTGGGTTTTTTTTTTTTTTTTTTTTTTTTTTTTGCTTATCTAATAGCATATTAATCCCCATATTGACGTGTTTGTAGCCCGACCACTCCCAACCCAACACCTAGGAGTTCCAGGTGCTCAGTCGATGAATGAATGAATTAATCAGTTGCAAAAACCAAGCCTGCAAATTGGACCCTCCTGCATTTGGGGGATGAGAGAGCATCCTGAACACTCATGAGCTCCTGAACCATACCAACCCCTCCCCACTTTCCTAGCTCCTCCTCACAGCCGCCCCAGGATGGGGTCGGTGTGTGCAATGGTTAGGATCAGGGTGGCCCCCCGAGACCGTGTGTGGAAGGCTTGGTCCCTGGCATCACCGTGCCGAGGAGCTTGTGGAGCCTGTAAAAGGTGGGGTCTGGAGGGAGGTCTTAGGGACTTGCCTTTGAAGAGGTGGGAGGACCCCAGCCCCTTGCTCTTTTTCTCTTTCACCCTTGGGCCATGATATGACTGGATTCTCTCCACCCCATGCCACCACCATGACGTGCTGCCTCACCACAGGCCCCAAACAGTGGGACCAATCAATCATGGTCTCGGACCTCCAAAACTGTAAGTCAAAATCAATCACCTTCTCTCTCCTTATGTCTTTGAGCTGGGTGTGTGATATAGAAACAGAACACTGACTGCCACACTGGTTATCCCCATCTCCCAGATGACTTGGCTGAGGCCAGCAACAGGCAGGACCCAGGTTCAAGCCAGGCCCGCCCAATCCCTGGCCGAAGCTCTCAGGTGGACTGTTAAATTGAATCTTAGTCCTCAGCCCAGTCTATGTGTTCTTACGAACGGTGTGCAGTGTTCTCGGCAGACAAAATCGCCAATGAGGTGTGTGTGGACAGGAGGCCAGGAGGAGGCCTACTCCCCCTGGGGCGTACGGCCACCTCCTAGCTGCCCCTGCTCCTGGCCTTAACCTTGAGTCCTCCCCTCCCCCAGGCCCTAAACCATCCCTAGGCCCTTTGTTCCTCCCCACAGCTGCTCAGCAAAGTCTCTGATGTGAAATTATGATCACAGGTTGTACTTAAAATAATTCCACAAAATGCTCTGCCTCTCTGCGTTGATGAACATAATGGAGGAAAAATTTCTACAGAAAAATAAAGAATCCACTTTGTCCAAGATTAAAAAAAAAAAAGAATCATGGGCTGCATACATAGCATTTGTTTAGACCTGAAAGATTCTGTCCCCAGGAAGCTGGCCAAATGCTGGAACTTGGGAAACCTGGGCGAGGAAGAAGAGCAGGCTGCTGGCAGGAGCAGAGATCAGGCACATATGGGTCTGTTTAAACTGTGAGGGGGCTGGGAGACCCTGGGTTTCCAGTATCCAATTTCCAGAGCAAGTGGCCGAGCGGCACCTCGCCCCTTCCCAACAGCCTTTCATGCCACCACCACGCGGAACAAGGTGGGCGTGGGCGTGGCTTCTTTCTCCAAGCTAGCGGCCTGTGAACCTAGAGTCCGCACTGCAAGCAGGGCAGGGCTGAACACAGACCTCGAGCTCTGGCCCCTCGCTCCCTGGGCACCCAACCCCTGGGCTAGCCTGAGCCAGCCTGAAGCTCTGTGCTTGCCCTTTCTTCAGGATGGCCCTTCAGCTTGGGGTCCTGTCCCAGGGACCCAGTGATCAGGCCATGAGGAGCGGGAACAAGGCTCTTCCATGGGACCAGCTCCCACCTCAGCAGGCAGACTCCACAGAGGACATTTCCCCCATTTCCTGAAACTTCCTCCAGGGTTGAGCCCTGAGCAGCGTGCAGGTAGAGATGAGCCAATCCCCACAGAGATGATGGCAGGTTTTGCTCCTGTGCTTCTCACCCAGAAACAAGGAGGCACTTGGTCCATAGGCCTGCCTCAGGTGGGACTGCAGCAATCAATAAGGAGGTGCCTCAAGAGCCCCTGTACACACAAACTTCTGTGAAAATAAGTGCTGCCTCTCCCCAAAGCACACAGCAAAAAACAGCCCTTCTGGACACTGTCTGTCTGTCTGTTGAGACTCTCTGCCCGTCTGATAAGCTGGCCTTATCATGCTTGGGGCTTGTGCCTCCCCTAAAATGGTCAGTAGGCCATACCCAAGGCCTCTGAGGCCCTCGAGCACAGTGAGGTATGGGAGCAGAAGACTGGAGCCATTGAGTCCCAGACCCACCACTTCCTGACAGAGAAGCTCCATGCTCCTCTCTGGGCCCTGACTTCCTCACCTGTTAAATTTGGGCATGACTCTGTCCACCTCACTAGGTGGTTCTGAGGGTGCGATGTTGGTAGGAGAGCTTTTAGAGCACTTGTCACCAGAGTGGCAGAAGCAGCAGGGCAGGAGAACCCATGAGCACTCAGGTCGGAGGCAGAGGCATGGTCCATGGGAATGCTACAGTTCCCTCGCCTCACCTCCATGCTGTCTGCCTGGCTGCAGGTCTGCTTCCCAGACCCCCCAAAAGGAGTGTGGCCAGCCAGCCTCAGCATGGGCTCCCTTCACACCGTGCCCCTCTCTTCCTCTCTTAGGAACAATTTTGATGCCTGGGAAACCCTGAGTATCTGTCTTCTCCAGGCTTGCTTTTTAGAAAGAGGGGGGGTGGGGAATCCCAGTTTCCTTTGTCTTTGAGCCACATGATCTCCTTCTACCCCACTCAGCCAGGGTGCACCAGGAGTGGGCAGAAGCACTGGTTGTCCAGTGAAAGGAGATGGCATCACTGATACTATTTGGATTCACTGGTGCATGGCAATTAAAACTGTAAAAAGTGGCCTGGCTTTGAGCCTGTGAACCTAGAGTCGACGGTCTTGGTCTTGAGACGCTCTGGAGATAAGGCACCTCTCACCAGCAGCAGACCTACCCTGCACATCTATGGCACTGCGTACCCACAGTGACCCTCCTGGGGACCCTCTCCTTACCCCAACGCCCCCGCCAAAGAGCGCGGTTTACTCGGTGGCTCACCACCGCAGCACTCGGGAGCGAGGCCACTGGAATCCCTGAACAGGGGACTCTCCTTCCCCATGCAAGCCCTGGGCCCCTGCAGACCAGCAAAGAAAAAGCAGGGACCCAAGGGTCACGGGGCTTATGACAAGGGCCCAAAGTGCCTCCTCTTTCTTCTCACATTTTCCTTGTTTGCAGACGGCTGCATGTAATGAGGAAATGCTGTCAGCAGAAGGGAAGGAAGCTTCGCCCTGACCCCCAAGGACCTGTGTCCTCCGGGCGTGAGGCAAGAGCATTCCTTCGCTCTGACCCTTGAAGGGCAGCTCCATCCACCCACATGGACCCAAATAGGAAAAGTGGAGAGGAATGGAGCACTCACCCACCCCATGCAGGTGACATCCTGGGGACTCTTCCACACAATAAAAATGACCTAAGAAATAACCCTGAGAGCTGCTATGCCTAGTCTCTCCACATCCCATGATCCCGTCTGACCCTTGCCGTCTCCTCACTGATCCTGTAAGCTTCTTGCTCTTGTTGAATGTCCCCTCACCTCATGGATGAGGGAACTGAGGCCAAAACAAAGTGGAGGATTCCCCAGGTGGCACTGTAAGGGACGGAGTTGGGACCCAGTCAGGCCTGTCTGAACTCAAGATCACCTTTATTTCATCTCTCAGGCCCTCCAGGGGGTTCAACAGTGCTGTGGCCTGAGCCTCACCGCCTTTCCACTAAGGAGGCCCAATACCCCATGGACTGAGGGGCGTCCCCCTGGCACACAGGGAACCCTGGCCTCTGGAGGTAAGTCCCCTTCCAAACCTGGAGTTAATGATAAAGCTGGAACAACGTAAAGACTTGCATCCCCTCTCCTCCTTTATCAATATGTGACTTGGGCTGAATGCCAAGTCAAACCTCTCCAGAGCCACATCCTCAGTGGTAACTTATTAAAGAGTAAATCAAAGTTTGCTCAAAGAGAAAAGTAAACATCCCCAACTGTCCATGTGAGGCCGGACCCCGAGCTCACTTCCCGGTCGCTCTGTTGACTCAAGCTGTGATCCTAGATAAGTGGCTACCCACTCACCGCCCAGGCCCAAAGTGCAAAACTGGGGCAAGAGCCCCAGGACAGCCTGCCCCTGGGACGCAGGAACTGGCAGGCGCGGCTCTGATGGGGTCTGCGGCTCGGAGAGGAAAACCAGACAAAGGCGGCCCGGTACAAAGCCCTGCGTGCAGGTAGCAGCTGCGTGCCCTGCGTCTCCGATTGTGAGGAAGTGGGTCACTCCTTTGTCACACTACCGAGGACCCCCACCATCCTTCAGATCTGTACTCACCCAGGACTACTGGGAGTGAGGAGGGCAGGGCCGCACTCTGGGACTCAGACGGCGGGAGGAGTAAGAACAGCATCCACAAGAGTCAGCCCTCATCACACCACGAGCGTTTTCAAAGAAACAAATAAAAATAGCCAGAAGTGGGTCAGCACTTACAGTGAGGCTGGAGGCAGGAAACTGGGGCAGAAGTTTTATTTCATAAATCCCAACTCGAGCGCTCTCGCCAACCTGAGTCCCTCTTGTTTTTCTTCCTTTTCCTTCTCTGACTTCTGGATGCACCAGAAGAGTGTCAAATCCTGGCTTCATCTATTTCCAAGGCTCTTTGCCCTGAGGCTGAGGGGAAGATGCTAAAAGGAGCTGACTTGGAAAGCAGGTGGGAAGGAGATGGCACAGGCAGTCTGCCTCCCTCTGCAGCCTCGGCGTGTTGCCTAGGGGAAAGGGCGGCACCCAGGTGGGAAGCATGAGTCCTCAGACTTTCCTGAACTGGAGCAGGCCTACCCACACCAGCACCCCCTGTACTGCCCCACAGGTCTGTGGCACCTGGGATGCCACACACAGGTACACTTGTACACACAACAGGACACACATTTCCAAAACACATACACCCAGCACACATGCCTGCATAGTCCAAACCCATTCCCACACACACCCCTGACGGGCACACAGTTGTAGACTGTACTCATATACCCACTCAGCTCCCATGCACACACATGGTGCATACACATGGCACCCGTGCACATACACAGTACAGCTGGCTCTCCCCATTGTGAGTTCCATGTCCACGGATTCAGTGGGGGAGAAGAGCTTGTCTTACACCGACAGGCTTTCCCCTTGCCATCATTCCCTAAGTAATGCAGATAACAACTTCTGCCCTGGCAGGCACACTATGGTAGGTACTGTAAGCAGCCTGGAGATAATCTGAAGTACGTGGGAGAAGCACGTGGACTACATGCAAAAACTGCTCCATTTTATGCAAGGGACTTGGGCATCTGCAGCTCCTGATGCCCTCTGTGGGGTCGTCAACCCCATCCCCTCTGGACACCCAGTAGCCACTTGCCCTACTCCTGTGCACACACTGGACCTGCAGAAATCAGAAACTGGCTACTGCTCTCTGTACCCTTGACCTTGGCAGCTCTCCTTGGCACCCACATTTGGCAGGATTACATTTCCTTGTGGCCTCAGTGACGTGATGGGGCAGATTTATTGGGCTTATCAAAAAAAGAGAGAAGGTGAGAGCAAACTCTGCGGTGCAATCATCTCAGCCTTCGGTTTCAGGCTGCAGGTCCCCAGGGCCAAGACGGAAGAAGGACAAAATGGGGTCGTTGGGTGAGAGTGTGTGTGTGCGGCCAGTGATTTGCTGGAGCTGTGAAATGCGCACTGCTCTCAAATGTATCGTCTTTGAATTCAGCAAAATTCATACCAATCTGGGTTTGGTGGGTGACATAAGCAGCTCGCACAGACCTGCTTGTGCTCCTGCAAACACACAGGCTCAAGATGGGCTAAAAAAAGAGCAGGCTCCGGGACTCTGGAGGAATGCCATGGAAGAGTGGCCCTCCCTCCTGCCTCTCCTCCTGGGGAAGGCCACCGCCCAGAGGCCTAGCGGTCAGCACTCTCACCCAGGCCTCAGGGCTGGAGGAGGGCAAGTGGCCCCCTCTGGGGTTCTGCTGGGAAGCGGACTGTGCTCAGGGTCCCTGACAGCCCCATCCTCTAGCCAGCAGACTCTGCCGTGGGCAGTCAGCTTTGTCACCTTGAAGTGGTATTCATTTCCCTTACTCACAGCTCAGGGATGGGTCCTCGGAGCCTTTGCCCAACAGAGCCGCCTGTTGGCTGTGAGAGGGTTAGGATTCCAGAAAGACTCGACCTCAGCTTGTGTGTTCAGCTCCCAGACGCCCATGGGTTGACAGGTCTCGGGTGTTTCTTAAAAATCATGCAGTTTAAAAGATCTAGCAAGGATGGTGGAATGTGATGGACATCATTATCCAAAGTACATGTATGAAGACACTAATTGGTGTCATACTTTATATACAACCAGAGATATGAAAAATTGTGCTGTATACGTGTAAAAAGAATTGTAATGCCTTCTGCTATCATTTATTTTTTTTAAATCAATTAAAAAAAAAAAAATCTCCTGGCTCTGAATCTGGCCTAAAAGTGAGAAACCAAACACACACCAACTGCACAAAATCTTCAAGAATAAAGGATTTTTTTTTTAAAGCTTGGGGCTTTCAGGGTGGGATTTTGGGGGAGTGAAAAGAAGATCTCAATCAAAAGAAACTTAAGACCATGGCCGAAATTCCCTTTTCTACTACTAGCTTTTTTTTTCCTTTTTTTTAAATGACAAAGTCACACAAGAGAGGAAATGAAAAGGGAAATTTTTAGACTTCTCATCTGTCCAGAAAGCCCCGGCTGTTTCAGAACCCGCCAGGGTAACCGTCGGGCCTGCGGTCACACTGCGATCCCAGGAGGCCTTGCGCACGGCCACTCTATCAATAAGGAAGTACCATCACTAAACCACAAGCCAGCTTTTTTTTCTCAGCCCACATGTTGCTCTACAAGGTTTTAAAACAAGCGACTTTCCTGTTTTTGAAACCTGTGAATCCTCAGGACTTCCAGGTTACCCAAATTATTTTATCCCTTGCAGCAACGACGGACGTGAATTTCAAAAGTGCTTTGCCCGGCCTTTCCTCCCCAGACTGCGGACGTCCACTTACCCATTGGATCCTTATTTACAGTATCGTGTTGCCAACCGCTGACACAGAGGAAAGAAAACACCAGTTATACATTAAACTTCGCAGTGCAGCATCTGTGCCAGGTGCCGTCGCGAGGCGTTTACTCACTGACCAGAGGTGGATGACCCCACCACCGAGAACGCGACAGAAACTACTCCTTAGGAGCGGCTGGCTGCTGTTCATGCAGACACACACATGCCTACAAATGTAGCATAAGGAGGCACCACAATTCTAGGGAAGCTATTATATTTATCACAGAAAGTGCAGCAAACCTGTTGGGAAATTTTTAAGTACAACCAAATGGCATTCCAAATGCCTAAGAGGTTGTTCAGGTTGCTGGAAAAGCAACCCAGGAAAGCCTAGGTAGAGGATTCTGCAGGGCGGTGGGTGAACGATGTAAACTGTCGGGCTGAATCCTCAGTGGTATGCAAGTCAGACTTGCTTCCATTGAGCAAATAGAAGCACGCAGATGAAAGGCTGCATTGAGAAGACATGAGACAAGTCCACAGGCTTCTCCTTCCTGCTCAGCTCAGCAGGCCGAGAACCGCGTGCCAGACCTAACAACTGCGTCTGATGGCCATCCTCTGGCTTAACTTCCGCCCTGGCTAGTGGCCACTTGGCCTTGCTCAAGCAGTGCCTGCAAACCTCATCATGTGCTCTCTGGCTGGAAGCGGCCATCCTCCCCAGGCAGAACTGAAGTTCACTGAGGACTTCCGGAAGGTAATTCACATTCTGTTTTCAGTAGCTGCCCAATGAGAGTGAGGATAAACCACGGGTGAACTATATTCTGCAGCTCCAGCCAGTGACCTCTAAGCCCACTTTGCAGAATTCCCCACGGCAATAATGAGCCCAGCAGACACTTATCTAACCTCACAGCTTTTGTTCTTTTGGGGTTAAAATGAACACTTAGCTCATCAACACATACACATACACACACACACACACACACGCACGCACACACACCCCTTCCCAAAAAGAATCTGCTCTCAGTTTGAGCACACAGGTATTCTGTTTATCTTCTTCTCTTCCTTCCAACAAACCTGCCAGCACTAAAAGGCTGGGACAGGCTCTGCAGGGCTCTGGGCTATGACCTCTGTGTCCGAGGCTGGGTTCTCTTGGAGCAGCCCTGGCCCCTCTCTGGTCAAGTGTGGAGTGTCACAGCAAGGAGCCTCAGGAACAGATCAGAGAATTTCGACCAGCCCACTGTGGCATAGCACAGTCCGCCCTTGGGGAGAAACATAGAAGCTAAGAATTCCAGAGAATTCCAGACTTCCCACACAGACCAGCAGTTATTTTTAACCACAGTCCTCATTGGCAGACAATCTGCTCTGTTTGTATGGAAAGCATCCTGTTCTTCCACCAGGTTTTTAAATAACCACGTTTCCTCTCCTCCTTCAGAAAAGCCCAGCGACACACTAACGTGAGGTAAACATGGAACTGCTTTCTGACCCCCAGATGCGGCGCTCAGGCCTTGGATCAGCACAGGGGCTGCACCATGAGTCTCACCCTGACAACGTAGAACTCAGCTCTTGCTTCTCTCCAGGAGTTAAGTATTCCCCAGTGAAGAAGGAGATGCCTCCACTGACCCCACACACCCAGGGCCATGCTTAAGGCCTGCAGGCTGCATGCCCCACTCTCCTGGGCCAGCTCCAGGGCCATCATGGGCACTGGGCAGAGGTGCTTCTGGTGAGGCCTTTGCAGTAGGCCTGTCGGTCACCTGTGGGTGCTCTCCATCCTGACATCACCACCCCATTTTCTCAGGCCAGCAAAGCACAGAGGAAGATAGGCCATGGGGTGAATCCAAGATATCGCCTTATATTTGTGTCCATGAAGAGTGACTCATGTTATAGAGTCTCTCTCAATTTCTTTATTTAGTACAACAAAATACCCTGTAAGGAATTGAGATTCATGAACCTTCCCTTAGGTAGCCAAGACCCCACGAAGGTCTTTTTCAAAAGCAGCCCAAGAAGTCAGCTTTGGGGGGATCTCAAATAGCACATGGAGAGTAAGGACTGAGATAACGTTTCCAACAACACAGCCTACAGACTCAAAAAGTGCTAAATCTCAAAGACACTAGGCAGAGGCAAGAAGAGGCACCCTCAAAGATTGAGCTATGTCATTCAGAAAAGGAGCTCAAGTGCCACAAGAAGCCTGAGCAACGAGCAAAACAAAGGCAACATTTTCACACATTTATGCCTGCAATTCTATAAATACCTGTAATTAAATCAATAGGTTAAATTTTATAATACAAGATTTGACTGTCACTTGCATCATTAAAAGTTTATATATCCAAGCTGGCCAAGAAAGACCAAAACTTTTGTAACCCGCCCATTGGGAAACGAGGCATTGCCTCATATTTGGGGTTGCATATATGGTACCAGCACCTGCCAAGCTTGTTCTTCCTAACAAGAGTATTTGTTGAGCACCCACCAGATGCAGGCAGTACGCCAAGCTCTGAGAATAAGCATCCTTGTGTGCATGCTGGTCCTGTGAGGGATGTCCTGTCATCCCCTCATTTCTTCAGGGGAGAAAACCAGGGCTTCGAAAATGTGAGTTACTTTCTCAAAGAAATAAATGGAGCACAGGTCTGATTTATTTTGCCTACTGCCCCTGAAAGCTCTTTTACTCTCCCTTCCCCCAAGTAACCACCAAGACCCACCCTAAACCATGTGGCAATATCCAGGTTTCTATTACATACTTGAAATAAGGAGAACTGGGCAGCTGGGGGAGGAGGGAGGAGCATCTGCCTGAGCCCAGCATAGCCATCACTTCACACTGTCATGGCTAAATCATGTCTTTGGCTATGGAGTCCACTGATGGATGGTGGATAACATCACCAATGATGGCTGGAATCTGCTTAGGTACTTGCAGGAGGCCTGGCTGGGGCAGCCTGTGGACTTAGACGTTGTTCATGATCCACATGCTCCTTCTCTCATGTGCAGACACGTCGTCACGCTGAGTTCCTAAGTCCTCACCACCTCCTCTAATACCAACTGGCCATAAAGTGGGGGAAAGAAGCACATCAAACTCAGGCCTGCTCAGGTCCAGCATACAGGATGGTGTTTCCCGTAAAAGCAAAAGGAAAACATGGCCCCTCGTCCTGGAGCCACCCCGTAATCCCAAGCAGTCATCTCGCTTTCCTTCACTGCCGTTCCTTCATCATCAAAATGCCGTATTTGAGGACCATAGCTGAAGTAGCCAAGTAACATTATCCAATCAAGGGGAGCACCATCTAATGGTCACAGAGGCTGCGGCGTCGGCAGCCACACGTGTTTCGTGGAACGCACTCCCGTGCCTGAGCAAGCAGGAAAACACGCGAGGGAAGTGATCCGGCTGAGAATGAACTGCAAACTGATGAACACGCAGTTGCTAATGCAGTGTTTATTATTTTTTACTACAATAAAAATTAACCTGTACACCACGCTGGCCAGCCAACAGAGCGAACTCCACCGTCTGGATAGCGGCATTGGTGTCTCTGTAGCCTCGGGTTGCAGGGGACTGATGCCAGGTCCAATTTTATTTGTAAATAGGCCCTGGGTGTCTGGACAACAGAACCGGGAGGTTCCTGGGAAGCAAGATCCAACATGCCCATGAGCCCAAGACGGGCCCGGGAAGTAGGAACCCTTCCTGCATCCCCAGGCTCCTGCATTTCCCAAGAAAGAGGTTCCACACGCTCGCAGGAGAGTTGCCATCACCCTGCATCACCCGCTAGACGACAAAGTTGTGCCTCTCAAGGGAACCAGGGAACATGGGGCATACGGAGGGGCCTCGGGCGAGCCCTGGCAAGCTCAGCCAGGCCCTGTGACAGCAGCAGCAACCACGGCCCCCGCCTCAGAGCCGACCTCTCCTGGGGCTCCTCCATCAGCTTTGCAAGCAGCTGGAGGAGTCTACTCCCCCCGCAGCGCCCTGCACAAGCAGGCCTAAATTATGACTCATGGAAATCCCCACTGCTGCGGGGATCAGGTCGCTTTCAGACTCCCAGCAATTAATGGCCCTTTTGGTCAAAGGAGAATAGGAAAAACAAAACCAGCCTGCAAGGCTAAGGGCTTCAAAACAGGCTGTTTGGTTTCTAGTAAATTAGAGGGAGTGGGTGGAGAGGTACCAGTAATGCTGCCCTGTACAATGTGGTCTTCTTTGACGTCAGCAGCAGGTTTCTCTCTCCCTGTCTCCTCCTTTCCCTCCCCTCTCTCTCCCATGTTCCCTCCCTCTTGCCTCTTTGTGTCAAAAAGACAGATGACATAGGGTGGCTCTGGAAGACGACTCATAGTCCAACACTACAGTTCAGGGTCTCAGAAGACTCCCACCCTTGCGCGAAGGCTATGGTGAGAGGTGGGCAAATTAGCAAGACAAAAATGCACGGGACTCTGCAGGAAGAAGGGCAGGCCCCGGAATCAAGCAGCAAGCCCCACTGGCCGTGCATTCCTCCTGTCTGGCCTGAGGAGCGGTTCTGTCTGAGGGAACATTCTTCCTGTAGCACAGAACACACACTGGTCTCCAGTGGGCCTGAAATAGTATCCTGGAGAGCATGCACCCTGCTCTGTGGTCACTCTTCCTGGCAGCCAGCTGGGGCTGCTGGGCCAGGGTTTCTCCTGGCTCCCCCGCTTCTTCCACCAGAGCTGTTTTTCTCCACAGCAATGCTGCTGCGTGTTAGCACAGAGCCATCTAGACTGAAGACTCGAGGCAGGCTGAGCGCTCTGAGCCCGGCCCTGCCATGCTGCATCTCCCCCTTTCAATGGTATCTTCCAGCCCCTCTGTTTTAACAGGGACAGCAGCTTAGACCCCTGGGAGCCCAGCCAGGTAGAGACACGGGAGTCTCTGTAGACTGGGCCACTTCCTCCGTGGCTCTCAGTTGCCACATGGCCTCAGCAAGCCAACTTGGTCTCTGGAGTAACGTGACTTTGCAGAAATGCTTTCCACAGGCAGCTCTGTGAGAGCAGAAATCCATCCCCGAGCCCTCGGGTTCTGCAGGGCGGGAGGAACAGGGGGCTGGAGGAGCAGGGGGCAGGAAGAGCAGGGCTCAGGCCTCGGGTACACAGCCTGATTTGTCTGTGCGAGATATGCCGCCTCCTCCTCTCCCCTCCTCTGACCTGCACAGCAAGGCCATCAGAGGGCCTCAGAACAAGGAGTATTTTGTAAGCCAACGCCTCCCAAGCTGTCTGTGGGCACCGGGTCCATGGGAAAAGCAGACTGGCAATGGGAAAGCACATGTAAGAGAGAACAGAGCCAGTCACATGGGTCTATTCAGAGATCAGAACCTGAAACAGAGCTGTGTGTGTGTGTGTGTGTGAGTATATGTGTGTGTGCATGCGCACACTTGTGCATGTCGGGGCAGGGAGTGCTCTGTGGTATCATGAGCAGAAGATAGCGTCTCAGTGAGAGCACAGGCCCAGCTCACACAGGCATTGACACAGATGTGCAGTGGATGGATGAACCAGCAAGTGAGAGAAAAGATCTAGGAGAGGAGGAGGCCAGGGGCGGCCTCCACCAAGCTGTCTCACTAACAGCGCAGGGACCAATCTGTGCCCGTACCATGGGACAACCAGGAAGAAGGCGCCCTGGTGGCCACCTGACCCAGCAAATCACCAACCGCCACTAAACCACAATCATGATCTTCAGCATCCCTAAGGGGCTAGAGTCTCCCTACTGCCTCCCTGCCTGGTCCTCGTCCTGCCTGGCTGGTATCTGCTGTCGTCATTCACAGCAGCAGTGTTCACTATGGCCTGTGCAAGAGGAAAGAGCTAACTCTGCCGAGCAAGTGTTACGGCGTGTGGGTGCGGAGTGCACTATTCCCACTCACACTGGCTGAGAGGTAAGCATCATGGCCCCCATTTTACAAATAAGGAGTTGCAGAGAAGTTAAGTCACTGGCCCAAAGTGATGCAGTAGCAGCAAAGAGACGCTCACGCTGACATGAGACACGTTCCTTCGATGAAGACAGGTCAGTGAAAGCTCAGCTCCCATTGCAGAGGAGCTCGGAGGACATCAGGGGACTATGCAAGCCCCACACTCTGTGTGTATGTGCCCATGTGAGTGGCACACGGGTGAGTCCACTCAGCCCAGGACAGCACCTTCGGCTGGCACATCCAGCCCGTGTTCTACCAAAAAGCCCGTGTTCAAAACCCACTTATTGAAAAGCTCATCTCTGGTTGGGCAGGACAAACGCTTGGCCTGAGGCCGTTCCAGGGGACTGTGCTTCTCGCCAGAGGTTCCTGCCCGGGAACAAAGCCCAATAAACCACACAGCCGAACCCTCGGAAAGATCAGCAGACTCAGGTGACGACAAGTTTATTTTAAGTAAATCAAGAGGGAGACGGGATGTGAAAACAGTTTCTGCAAGGGCTGGGGCTCATCCTCGTCCCTTCTCTGAGGTGGAGCCCACCCACCCAAAAGCACTGACTGGAACAGAGAGGAAGAGCCTGGTGGTCCCCATGAACCCACAGCTGCCCATGTGGAGATGTGCCCATGGGGCACAGGGGCTCCGACACAGGGGCTCTGCACAGTGGAAGCACCGCTTTGCTCAGATCTCTCCATGCGTCCTCCAGTTTCTGAATGAAGACTCTGCTGCTTTTCCTTCTTGGCAAAGCTACTCTCATTAAAAAGCCAGTATCCTAGAAACTGAAGTGGCCTTGGATGCCATTCTGTTGCAGCAGACTGAACTTTCCTTGCTGAATCAGACCCCTTAATATGTCAACGATGAGTCACACACAAGTAAATGAGCCACCAGGAGGAAGAGAGATAACGAGGCGATATTTATCAGTGGCTGTCTCTTAGCAAATGATGAGCATTGCCTACCCGCTGGTCATGTTGCTGTGCGTTACCTTCCCGACCATCACTTAGGCACTCCTGGGATGGCTTCTAACTGTCAATATTTACAGGAACTGGCCCTTCACCACCCAGGCCAAGTGGGCTGGATGTCTCCAAGCGTGAGTCCTGACGAAGGAAGCCTTGTATGGAAGGGTCCCTTCTCTAAGTCCTCCTTGGCTGGAGCAGACTTCGAGCCAATGGCCATCTGTCAGCAGAGCAGGCCTGACTGTCCAGCCAGTGCCTGGAAACCTGGGGCTCCACTTGAGAATGGGGGCATAGTGATTTCTTGGGATTCTGAAAGCTCAGGGTCACGCATCTGAAACACAGCTACCCTCAGAAAAAGGGTGACTTACATTCTCATGAAGGAAAGGATTCTCCTTGGTAATGAGCACGGAGCAAGAGGAGGAGGGCAGGACGCAGGGGCAGCCATGGAGCCAGCAGAGGAAGGCGTTGAGGAGGAAGTGGGGCCAAGCACATGGTGGCTTTGGGACATTCCTGACGTGCTGACCCTCAGGTAAGCCTAGGGATAGGCACGTTTGATGGAGTGTAGAAAAGAAAGGGAAGTTGTGCCAACCACACAGAGAGACGCCACGGACTCCAGGAAGACCACGCTCGGCAGGAGGAGGCAGCAACCATACAAACCCCAACCCGGCTCTCCAGGAAATGTGTCTGCACAGGCATCCCATGCTGGCCACAGCCCTCTGGGGACCAGCACTATGCAGCCCAGGACCAATTGGTCGACAATGAGCTCCTAGAATCCCAGCCCCTTTACAATCAATGAGGTAAGCTGGCACTGCAGAAGCCCATGAGATGGTAGGATTATCATTGCACTACATGATAGAAAGTGCTGGGTTCAAAATGGCAGACGCCCTAGGAGAACAAGAAATGGTAAGACTTCCACACTGTGCATAGGTTCTTCATAGGCTGGGCACGTTTGAAGTTGCCAGATGTTCCCAGAGATCGCAAGATGATTCCAAGATGAAATGAGCCACTGATGGCTGCAGACAAAGAGGTCACAGCACATGACCCTCCAGGACCACAAGGCCAAGGACAATCTGCCCGTCGCAGTTGCATGGGCAACCCCTGCCCGTGGGGGAGGGGCAGCCAGGAGGAAGGATGCTTCCGAGTCTGTGAGGGGTTTCCATCCCATCCCAGGGCTTCTGGGGGCCTCTGCCGGGCCCTGCGTTTCATTTCCCCACGGGGTTTCCGCTTTCTGTGGAGGGCGGAGGCCAGGCGAGGCTGAATCGGGAGAACTCTGGAGGAGTAGATGAAGACCCACAGCCTTTCCCGGGTCCTCTTTCCATACTTCTCTGCTTTCGTCTCTAGAGTTTCCTGAATCCCCAGAGCAGGACATGTGCTGAGTGGACAGGTTGGAAGGTGGAACCAGTTTGCTGGGGCTGCTGCCACAAAGTACCAAGCCCAGGAGGCTTAGACAACAGAACTTCCTTTCCCCACAGCCCTGGAGGCTGGAGTCCAGGGTCAAGGTGCGGCAGGGCTGCTCCTCCCAAGGCCTCTCTCTTGGCTTGCAGACAACATCTTCTCCCTGCGTCCTCACCTGACCATCCCTCTGTATGATCTGTCTTCTCATCTCCTCTTCCACAAGGACCCCAGTCACACTGG